AATTATTAAACTCTTTCATAGCAATAACGTTAATAAAAAATTTAATGAGATAAATATTTGAACATAAATTGGAACGTTTAAAACATTTAAAAATATTACATTTAAAAATATCATGTTGTGATAGATTATATTACTTTATACATATTGCAAAATATTATATTACTTTTATATCATTTTTTTTTTTCATTCATTACTTTTAACGAAATAATATTGCGGGAACTATAATTTCTACGATTTCCTAAAAGCCATGTAACTCAATGAACTGATGAGATAAGCATTAAACACGATAGAAGATAAAGTGTAATATATTCGTAGATATATATCACATATGTCTTTTAGTTTGTTAAATCTAAAAAATCAATAAGCTAAAGCGATATTTATATAGGTCATCTAAAACACTTTAATTTTCCTATTGTTTGTCTCCGAACATTCAAAAAACAATTATCTGTTTATTCTAACGTTGATAATTTTAAAATATTACATGTGACATACGATATACTTCCTTTTTTTTAATATATGTATAAAATATTCTGGAAATATTTAATTGTATAATCAATATATCAAATTTATTATAAAATAAAAAATAAAAAAAAAGAGATTTTTTTAACTATCTCGTAATGTTTATATTGAAGAATGCATATTTTACCGCAGGGAATAAATTAATTTCCTTCCAAATTCCGTCTCGTTAGAAATATAAAAAGCAAACTAATGAATACCGAATACAGTCGCGTTCTAAGTCAAAATTCCCAGATCCTTGCTCGAGACTTTCTCGAGAAATGATCGACGTGTTCGGCCTGGGAAGCAAAGTTTAGAAGGCGGATAATGGGACAGGGGTCAAGGCGTGAGGTATTGAGTGCAAACACACAACTCTAAAAACACGACGCGAGAGCAGGCGCAACTCACGCCTCGTGTGTATTCGTTAACAGTGATTCCTTTCATTTCGTCGCACCACTCATCGTCGTCTGGGAAAAGGAAAACTCCTTAAAAACAAAGCCCGTGTTCTCGAACTCAATCTTCTTTCCTTACAGAAAAAGGCTCGACCGAGAGAAGGCATTCGCGAACTCGACATTTTTAACTTATGTAGCCTACAAGTGGTTGAAATATAGATTAACGTTAATAAATTAAGCCAAGCATCTTCAAGAACTCCTCGTGAAACGTTGCTACATCACATACTTTTCACATAATTCTTTTAGATTCTTTGATACCTAATTTTATAAAGCCAAAGCAATAGAAAGTCCAGAGAAAAACTCTCCTTCAATTATTATATATATAATATCTCTTCATGATAATAACAAATAAAATTTACAGTACCTCAGCATTCCTACAGTAAAGTGAGAAGAAAAAATCTGTGTACAAAGCATTATATTGTCAAACATTTGTCGCGGAAAAGACCAAAATATTCTCTTTAAACGACTCGCGGTGGCGATAATAGCGAAACAGTGAGCAAACAATCGTAAGGCGATATAATATCTCCTATAAAAACCAAGACGGCGGATCATTCTCGGTCTAAGGACAGATTAATATAAGCGATGCGATAACGCGAAAACGATGACAAGGAAATCGTTATCTGGTTCATGTGCAAATACCCGTGTCCGAGTGCGCGAGCACTCGTCCGCAAGTAAGTGTCTTTCAATCTGATACACCCAGCCAGTTGTACAATATCGGTTATCGCGTAATGCTTGTCGGATGCATTTAATACGCTTCGCATTTTGTAGCGATGTAAAACTTTATAACGAACGCGTGCGATATAAAAGAAATTCGCGTGATAAGAGCATGACTGGCGTGATACGGTGAAATATTTCGTAACGAATTCGGAAATCTAAAATCGACGAGACTAGCAATGTGACTTTTTGCTAAAAATCTAAATAAACTGAATATCACGAAAATTCACATGCCACTCGATATATTTTTTAGAAATAACATTTTTCCCTCTTCATTCGGACATTAATATGAAAATATTTTACATGGCGAAGATTGATTCTGCGAGAATAAATTCAAATCTGTCATATAAATATTCATCAATTCATGTCCGAATATTATGTTATTTTTATTGGTGTATTTTATCAAATATTTTAGTGAAATTTTTGCTGTGAAATGCATGCGCGTATATTAAATAAGGTATTTATTTTTTAAAGCAAATCGGACTAATTTTTGCATAATGGAACACGAATTAAAAAAGGGAATATAGGCAGATAAAAATGTCATGAATTTTTCAAAATTTATGGGATTCATATCGTATTACAATATATTTGACGCAGAGAGACATGAAGAATAATAACAGGAATTTTTTTCTACGCTCGCACGTTCGCGTGCTTACTGTTAACGTAAATTACGTGACACTCCCCAAGTTGCTATATCGCGCGCCTTTTCTTCGCCTATCCTCTCCTTTCTCGTCCCTGCAACCTATCCCGCACAGTCGCCAGCTGTCGATCGACTTCCGTCCCCGAATGGAGCACATTCTTCGTTACTATTATTACAAAGATCCTCGTGTTGTCTCTGAGATTGACAAAGCGAAAAAGCTGTTGCTGTTATTTTCACGCAGTAATAATACGATTTTTAAATACGATAACTTGAATCGTAATTAAATACGATTTAAATCTTTAGAATCGGAGTCAATAAATTCATGTAAATGATTCTTCAACAGAGTTATTAAAATAATTAATTAGGAAAAATAAATAGTTAATTAGTAGTTAATAAAAGATTACGAATCGCACGTGGAGCTTGTGCTATACATATGTTGAAAGGATTATTCGGCATATAAAGCACACAATTAGCCATGCTCTGTGGACTGTACAAAGTTTCAAATTATATATTTTAATTTTAATTTTATTAAAATTTTTAATTCCTCTGAATTATAAATATAAATAATTCTTTCTCTATCTTTCTGTAAGTGTTATAAATTTTTTCATATATCTTTTGTACACGCTACAGACGAAAGGAAATGAGAGGTTTAGTACGTTCGAGGCTGCTTTTTGAATCCGATGTGAATTAAAAGGCGACCAAACGCCGCACGGGCGTGTCTGTTTCGCGGGTTGACTCGTGCAATTGCACACAAAATTGCTGGCGGTCGAAATAACAGTCATTAATGCTTTCTTTTTCTCGCGCGCGCGACCGATATTCGCCGCGGTCGAAAGCAGTTCATTTTTTACAACGCGATGTTCATAAATATACCGACGAAGCGAAACCTGACAAGAACAATTTGTTTACTTTGCGGAATATCTGTAAATAAGAGAAAGAGGGATCGCGGTATTATCAGCGAATTTGTAAAGATCAGTCGATCGACGAATTAATCGATTTCTAAAATTCGATGAATTAATTAAGAGAGATTGTTTTGTTATTGTAATCTTAAAAATATTTGCTTAAGATACTAATTAATTGATGATTCCAATATTCATGTTGAGCTGTATAATATCGGATATTATATTTATAGCTCAACTGCATAAAGAAAAAAGCATTAATTGAATTTAATTAATTAAAATTCTGCGAATCAATTAATATCGCGGTGCTTGATAATATAATCTGCAATTAGCAAAGAGTACATACAAGGTGGAATAATTAAGTAATTAAGAGTAATTTTTAGTTGCTATCAAAGTACCTTTTCTTGCTTTATACTCAATTATCGATGAATCAAGGATAAATCGATAATGATAGAATTCCTGATAATATCTTTAACCAACAGGTGATACGAAGAATTTTATCTCGATTAACATATCTTATCAAAAAATTCTCTATTGAAATAATCAAGTCCCAAGAATATCTTTGCACTAGATATTGCGTACTTTTTATAAAAGCCACACGAAAACAACTGTTTTCGTTTAAGAATCTCGTTAGATTTCTACGATTTTTGCCGCTGCAAAATATTTTCTTAATTAAAATAAAAGATATTAGATTATTACGAATTTTTTTGAGTTAATTAATCAAGCTGATAATAGTTCTTAGAAAGTGTATTTATATTTTAAAGAGGAACATACAGATCTAATCGTATCGCTATACGATTGTTCGCTGCCAAGTCGAGATTATTGCACGATTATAATACACGTATGTAGTGTTAAAAACATTAAGGTGCTAAAGCACTCACTGATAATTTGGTTAGATAGATAAATCGGTTAGCGATGATTTATTTCTGATCAAGTGTGTGAGTTCGAAATATCATATTATCAAGAAAAACATGTCAGAAATACTATAATGAAGGTTATGAAGATTGCTAATCAAAGATAAGAATTCTAAAGAAATAATCGTAAGAAATTATTTTTGATAAGTATGAATCATACATGTAATGCAGCATTTGGACATATATTATTTTATATGTTTTATGTGTTTGCCATCGCGTTTTTGTTATATATGTATATATATATTTTTATATTTGATATGCATATTATGAATTAATTCAATTTCATTATTAAAAAAAAGAATTATATTAACAAGAGGGTGACTTTGTTAATATAGAATTTTCTAGAAAAGAGCTCGTCATTTTCAGTCAAACTTAATTAACTAAATAAAAAATTGCAAGAGAAAATAATTATTTGACTAAATAAAAATCCTCAACGGCCTTGATCAGTTACGCTTGTTAATGTGTGGATCATTTCTGGTTTGACAAGTCCGACTGCTACTAGGACGAAACTCGTGCAGCCTCGAAAATACGATTCAACAGAAAGATGCAGCACTTTCGATGCTCTGTCTCTAGAGTTACAAAGAAAATAGAAAATATTTTTGTTTAATCTTTAATAATTTCTATAGTTTATTGATAAATTTCTCCTTTTCTAATATATGTGCGCTAAATGTAATCCTGATTATAACTATATTTTTAAAAAACTTGAAAACTAAATAAATCATGGAATAAATGAAAATAAGATTTCAATTTTTCTAAAAAATTTTCTAATTTTTTTAAATTTTCCAATTTTTTGGCTTTGCCATTCTTTAAATTTAAAATAAACACAAAGGTGCAAAGTATACATTTCGGAATAATAAATATTGTTATAATAAGATGATACAAATTAGCGATCTAATTTAAAAATAGACTTTGTGTACCTATAATAATATGTATAATTTCGCCTCTCACAACATGAAATACACTAGTCCAAGCAGATTGACCATATGGATTGGCCGATTTTCGGACGGAAAATATACAGCTGCAGATGGTGACCACACAACTCGTGACCACGTGTCTAACATAAAGGTAAGTCAAAAGATCGAAAAAATTTTGAAATCATAAAATTGACAAATGGCACAAAAAATAACACTTATTTTGTTTGACTAGTTCCTGATCCGCATATGGCGTTTCCGTAAATACATGAGACGAATCGATGATTCAGTTAATAGGAAAAATAAAATTCATGTTTGAAAAGATATAAAGAAAGTTCATATGTTGACAGTATGTATGCAGTATGGTTGCTGAATAAAGAATTATTTATTGCTACACAAATTGATAAAAAATATTAAAAAGAGATTTTTCGAAATATATTATAATACACACATATGTTTATATATTTGTATATTCTTTTGATAAAATATAAACTATTAAAATTTGTTTATACATATACGTTATATATGTGTATTTCTTCTTTTATTTATCATATATTAATAACTTTTTATAGTATTTTCTAAAACAAATTTTAATATTGCAATTATTTCCTAATAATATTTTTAAAAAAATAAGGATTTAATGATAATTAATTAGTAACCGCTCATTTCCAGATGCATTCAACTTTCACTTCTAGCATCGAGTTTATCCTATAATTACTTTGTCACAAAAAATGCTGCTCGCACGGATCCTCAAGTATTTACAAGTCGAGTGGGCTCAGCAGGGGGTGACCCGAGAAGAAATGCTTCCTAATTTTCATCTGTTAGTGATTTTGGCGAAAACATTCTTTCGAAAGAACCAGCGTTGCACCGGGTCTGTATTTGCATCTGGCAAGCAGGAGGGTATACCATGGATAAAGCAGAAGGTTACGACGAAGGCAGGGCGAGAGCGGTCAGAAACAAGAGGGCAGTAAAAGGAACAAAAATTCGGAGGTCGAATCTCCCGTGATCGCAACGTCGGTAAACGGCCTCCGCCACGAGACTAAGAGAGAGGAAGCGGAGAAAAGACTCCCGCGGTGGTCAGTGAGTCCCATAAACTCGCGATTCCTGGCTGTTCCCCGGCATCTCTATACGTATACACGCATACGTACGCACACCGTCGCAGGTCGAGTGCGCGCTACCACTGGTGGGTGGGCAAAGCGGCTATAAGGCACGATGAAAGAGAGACGAATGAAGATAGAGGGAGAGAGAAAGGAACGTAGGGTCAGTAGAGAGGAGACCAGGTAGAGGAAAAAGGAGAGAAGATGGAAGATAGAGAAGAAAGGAGAGCTCGAACAAGCGAGTGGTACAGAGAGAAACTGTGAGCTAAACTCTCGGCTTGCTGGCGCCGCTCTGTCGGCCCCCGCTGACTCCCGCCGCCAACAATGCGTGCATTCCCCCCTTTCCTCTCCCCTCCCCCCGTCCCGCGACCATCGCCACCGCCGACGCCAACGCGCTGCGTCGCCTAACATCTCGGTGGTTCTACCAATACCAATGAACGGCGACATCGGAGCTACGATCAACGGCGCCAACATCGGAGGACACCTACGTCGCATCGCGAGAATCATTGGAGGGAAATTAAGAATCAATAGGATCGTTAAGAATCGTTAAACCATTAAGTCCCAACCTCGTTATGAATCATTACTGACATCGGATACAACATCTCGACGGACGTATCAACTGACATTACCGCTGGCTGTCTCGCATCATCTCACACCGTGCATTAGAATCTAATGTTGTGTGTGGGGGTAGAATATACTACTACTGATATTACCACCACCACTATATTATCAGCCGCGGTTGAGTATGTAGGATATAGGGGATGACGACGCATATACCACTACCATCACCGGCGCCAATGTTGTCACGGGATCTTTCCGGCCCGATGGATCCCCACCATCGTTGCATGCTCTCTTGTATATACCGCATTTTCGAATACGACAAAGCTTGTTGGTGAACGAGAGAAAGAGAGTCCGCGGCGACATCAGGTCGCTAGTTGGTGGTATTAGTGCCAGGCGGTAGTAGTTCAGTAGTACTACTAGTGTTGCTGGTATTGCTGGCAGTGCTCTGGTGGTGCTGCTGGTGGTGGTGGTAGCGCGACGATGGTGGTGGTGGCGAACAAGCTGGTGGTGGTGGCAGTTGGAGTACGGACCAGTCGGGCCTCCCTCGCACACGTAAGAGCGTGAAACGGAGCCGAGAGTACACCAAGTGAGTCAGTTCGCTGTCGACTGCGATCGCAATAGGACGTGTGTCGTTTTTTGTCGAGTTCATATCGCCTACACCGATCCGCGAGATCACATCAGTTCGCGGAACGTTACCTCGCGAACAGAATTTTGGGATTACCAATTAAGCGACAGATCAACGCTTTGATTGACACGTGTCGAGATTTGTGGATCTATCTACCGGAGGGAGAAAAGGGAAGTGTATTTGTGGGTGAAGGAGTGAACCGGTGAAGTGCCGGTGGTCCATGAGAGGAAAATGAGCGAGCACGTGGTGGAAAGTACGTTCGAGCTTTCAGCTTTCATGAAAGGTGAATTTTAATTCATAGTCCGTCATGCGCTCGCGGACTTTAATCGATCGATGACACGAGAACCGAAGCGAAGATGATCGCTTTAAATTGTTGATCGCTTGGACTTTAACTTTGACTCGCTCGATTTAACTCTGTTTTTCGTCCCTTTAAAGTTAAAATGATATAGATGATTATGAAAAATAGAAAATTCGATATTTTTAATTAATCACTTGCAAAGTTATTTTTCCAGTTATTTTTTAGAAGATTAGATTTTCGAAAAAAATCAAATCTTGATTTAATTGAGATTGCTGATTCAAATTAAAACAGTTTTAAACAGATCACATGCTGAATGTGATCTCATTATAAGAATAATTGAAAAATGTGTAAAAATAAATCGAAATTGCAAAATAATTTGTCTTCGTGCGAGACTTTATTCTGAAATTGATTTTGAAAATCTATTGAGTATGTATTATCTCGATTACTCTATTTGAATATTGCGATATATTAATAAACTTGCACATTAATAAAAATGATACCGAACGTTACCAATGTTTGCAAACATCAGCTTGAATACAGAACCGTTAATCTATAAAGAAACACCGAACTTTAGTTTTAATCAAACACATAAAATTATTAAAATGTTTAACATTGAAACATTCGTACGAAAAGAATTCTACAATCGATTTATTTTTGTATAAAAAATCATTGTGATTGCACAATCACTGTATTCTGTACAATGACTCTTAGTCAAAAAAATTAATTTGTTATCCTTGCTGGATTATATATATAATATTTTAGTCACTTTATTCCATATCAATTTAATTATGAAATGATTCTTATTTTTCTTCATTTCATTCATTTTAGATTTTTGACTCAGAAGCTTTTATATTTTCTCGTGTCATCGATCTAATAATATGTAAGCTTGTAACTAGAATGTAAGAGTACTCCACAATTTATGGCGAGATTATAATTAATCCAACTAAGCCCACGAATATCTGATTCGAGCTCTGGATTTGTTTTGTCGACCTTAAATCGATATACGCGATTGACATTTCAAAAACCACGAGGTATAAAAATACGCAAAGTAATAAAATCCTATCGAATATTCCGATACTCTTAATGCGCGTTGAATCATGAGACTGATCATTTAAATGTGGACCGATCAATACTCGCTCTTTTTGATATGGACCGATAATTATCTTTATGAACGGCGCCGATGCGGAATGAGAGATCGCGTTCGATGAATCGAAACGAAAAACGAAGGAGAAATCAGCTAAGGGCGTTGATCGAAATAAATTTGTATACAATATAAAAATTAGGCAGAGGAAAAAAATACGCAAATAAACTGATACAAAAACGGAGAGAATATAAAACATATAAAAAAATGTCATTATTATTAGTAGATGTAATTTAATTTAGTGACAGTTCTAGTAAACGTCATAAGAAGTCATAAGCATAACTTTGACATTAGACGTACAGGTAGTTGTCATACGAAACTCACGCAAGCACGTTCGCGTGGAATAATTATAATTTACAGCAATAATAACAATAATAATTCAAAGCCATCTTTTATCTTAAAACATATCTTGTTCACAATCGCGGGACTAGACTATCGTTGTTTGTGCGTAAATGCCAGACGACAGTCTGGGCATTTTTGCTAGACACTGAAGGTATATAGCTTCAGGAGGAGAGAAAGAGAGAGAACAGAAAAATGCGAGAAAGAGACGACAGTAATAGAGGTGGTGTAGTGGCACCGGCTGTGGCTGCGACGGCGCCAGCGTGGGTCGTCACACACATATAACCACAAAGAAACACGCCCGAAGTACAGGCGACCCCCTTTGACCGAGCTTGAAATCGGTGCTGGGCATCTACGCGTAAACAACAATGCCTGTGGAACAGCAGATTCAACGTGGCGCGTCGATTTAACTTAACGTCCGGGAGAGACCGAAATCTGACAATCTATTTAATGTGTCGATCCTATAATAAGATCACCCTAAATGCGAAATAATATATATTATCTCTTGAATTTATTAATGAAATTCATTATCAAGTTTTGCTTAATTATACTGTTTATCTGTATGATAATAGATATTCAAGTCTCTCTTCATTATATGTAGATGTCTCGAAAAGTCATAAGGTAAAAATATCGATGAAATATCAAACATCTGCGGTTAATAATAAGGAGAAATAAAAAAGATTCTATCTAACCATAAAAATTATATCTTTATCGAATATTGGATGATATATTGCTCACATTCTAAAAATATCAATTTTATTGTTAATATTGTTAGAACAATGAAGAATTGTGTGTGATTAATTTAATTATTAATAAATAGTATAAATAATAAGGTACATTGATATTTGAATCAACATTATGTAGTTAAAATAATGACAAAATATATTTTTTGATTAATTAATTTGTATAAATTATTTATTTAAATTAATTTTTTATTACTTTATTAATTCTCTTATTGGTTTTTCTAATACTTTGAATAATAAATAAAAATGTATTATATTAGTATATTTATTATATTAATTTATACCTTATATTTATGGCAACGAGATTGCTGACTATTTATATAGCCAACACTAATCATTATTTATTTTAGATATCTTGATAATAATATAATATTTTTCTTGATCTCGAAACTGCCATTAATCTTATCATTGAAAAGCATCACAACGTCGTTCTCTGAACATAATTGATCTGATACGTGAAATCGTATAACAATAAATGCATAACAGACATGACGAGCGTTTTAATTAGATCGTACCTGTCCTTTCCGCGATAAGTATATTATCAAGATAGTGCCTATCGGCTACTGCGCTACACCTAAGTCTACGCATTCATTAACATATCTCATCTCCTCGCCCGACCACTTTTACTCTCAAACCAGCCGCCTGCACAGTCGGCATTTGATCTCAGCTATAATAAACCGCAACAAGGAAATGAAAAGTTATTCAAAATTTTATAAAGAAAGAGAGAAAAAAGATATTATATACCAGTATTCTTATAATTAAATGACATTGCACCATAATGCATTATCTCCATAAATTAATGTGTACCGTTTTGTTAATTGCCCCTTCCTCACTTACTGCCTTTATAGGTGTACGATAATCGATATAAATTTTGTCTGAAATTTATTGCACCAGTTTTGACCTCGCCATTGAGAGTGCAATCGATATCTTATTGATTCGCGTTATGGATATAAAGAGTGTTACAAGATGAAAAGATTTTCCTCTCGTCATCTCTACTTTATTACATTATAATTTATAATCCTACACCTACTACTACCGTGATAACTTCAATGATAGCTATATTTTTGAAAGTATCTCGTTTTTTTCCGAAAACAACGTTTTATTCCGCTGTTTTTCTAAAAATTTGCATAACATGCAATTAATAAAATTCCAAAAGTGCATATTTTAAATATTTATTTTACAATGAATCGTGAATAGCTTTTTATTAAGTTTTTAAAAAATGTGAATTTACCTTAGAATTTATCTAAATCCGAATGTTTCAACAATTTCGAGACACCCAGCATATGTGTAATCGATAATGCACGATGAGAGATGCATTGCAATGCATGCGACAGCGAGCCACTTGTTCTCCATCATCAAACGCACAGTTGACGTGATTAAAATAAACGCGCGGTTCGATTCCCTCAGAGAACTTTATCCGCGCTCGAAATAATCGTCAACGAGAAAAATCTTTGGTGCGAATGAAGAAAATAATAATGTTGGCCGAAAATGTTATAATTTAAAAAATGGATGCTTTTGAAGTACGCGAGTTTTTTCATACAAAACTTATGAGAACGTGATTCGTTGAAACTTACACAATATCGCGACATATCTGCCCACTCATTCGCGTATATACGTATATATATTATCATTCGCGATTTTATATTGATTTAAGCACACATGGATAAATATACGAATAATATTCACGCAAGCCCGCGGCACGTGGGTCGCTTACACGTGTTTATTACGCGGATTGATACGCGTCGCAGCACATGCATAAAATGAGAAAGACAAATATTGGACAGTTACATTCGTCGCAAATCTAAAAACTGTACAGGACATTTTCTCCCAAAAACACCGAAATATATATAACAACAACCACTAGCGAAAAAATATAGCAATTGTGTTTTGAGATAATAGTATAATATATGTTTTTTTAGTTACAAACATTTGTAAAAAAATTAGTTTAGTTAAAATTAAATTTTATTTTCTAAAACATAACTACTTTAATTATATTATTTGCATAATTTTTGTATAATAGGGATGTAATATCTTTATACAGACGCATAAACCTCTCCCTCTTTCTCTTTTTACTAAATTTTGATTTATAATTGTGTCTTAATTATTTTATGATATTTAATATTAAAAATTAAGACATTGATTATTTATTAAGCAAAGTGGTTATTTCAAATAATTTATGAAAATAAATAAAATGTGCGTGCGTTTAGAGAATACTTACATAAATTCTTAATAAATAAAGAAAAGAAATATTAAATAGAAAGAATCAGAGTAAATATTTGCTACGAGTCAGGAACATTATAAGCCTGCTGAAATTTGGAAACTGTTTTGAATGTCATACAAAACATGTAACATCGACACGAAATGACATCAGAAAAGTTTACTCAGATTAAATAACTTGAAAAATATAATTTGGTTTACAATGATTTATCGTCATTTATTTTTTTCTTATTAAAATAATTTAATAATTAATTAAACTTGATAAATTTTTGAAGTTAAATATAATTATCTTGTACAACAAATATTTTTCTTATCACAAATTTTACAATTGCTCCATTATCAAAACATTAACAATTAAAACTTTTGCGTACTCGACAATACGATATTTTGAAGATTTAATATCTGTGCAAGTGTTAAGCATATTGACAAAGGTCAAGACACAAGGTCAGCGAAAGAGAAAAGAGAATTCTTTTATCGCGTGCCGCCGATCGATATCTCCTGCTATTAGTTCTTGTGCACTCGTCCATTGACGTCTTAAGTGGCAT